GGTTTTGTTGATTTTAAGTATCCTAATCATGTGTACAAACTTAAAAAGGCACTCTATGGCTTGAAACAAGCTCCAAGATCATGGTATGATAGGCTGAGCAAATTTTTGATTGAGAATGACTATGTTAGAGGTAAAGTAGATAATACATTGTTTGTGAAGAAATTTAAAAATGATACAATGTATGTTCAAATCTATGTGGATGACATTATTTTTGGATCTACTAATCTCTCTCTATGCAAAGAATTTGCTAAGACCATGCAAGGTGAATTTGAGATGTCCATGATGGGAGAGCTTACATTCTTCTTAGGGTTGCAAATCAAACAAATGAGTGATGGAATCTTTATAAGTCAAAGTAAGTATTGCAATGAATTATTGAAAAAGTTTGGTATGGAAGGGTGTAAGGAGGCTGTAACACCAATATCAAACTCATGCAATCTTGACTTGGATGAGAAAGGGATAATTGTTGACAACTCAAAATATAGAGGTATCATTGGATCACTTTTATATTTGACAGCTAGTAGACTTGATATAATGTTTGCTGTGTACTTGTGTGCAAGATTTCAGGCAAATCCAAAAGAGTCTCACATGAAATCTGTCAAAAGAATTCTTAAATATCTAAGAGGAACAACAAAATGTAGGTTTATGGTATCCAAAAGGAGTCTCTCTAAGTTTGATAGGTTATTTGGATTCAGACTATGCTGGGTGTAGACTTGATAGGAAGAGCACAAGTGGTACTTTATTCAAACAGTCACACTTAAGTGCACATTCACAATCAATTCAAACAAGACTCATTGATAATTCCAAGTTCAATTCTCATTTGATTAAATCTTTCTTTTGGTAGAGGTTTCGTAAATATATCAGCTAATTGTTTATCTGTTTCAACAAACTCTACTACACAATCATTCTTTTGAACATGATCTCTTAAAAAATGATGTCTTATTTCTATATGTTTTGTCCTAGAGTGTAAGATTGGATTTTTGGTTAGATTGATTGCACTTGTGTTATCACATCTTAAAGGAATTTTGTTCAACTCAGTTCCATAATCTGTTCTCTCTTAGTAAGGGGGGAATTTGTTTGATTGTTTCTTTCTTTCTTTTTGTTGTTATCATCTTTTTCATACCAGGCATGCTAAAATGTTTGCAAGATTTAACTTTTATTTAGTGGAAATAAATAGAAGAAAGTTGAAATAGCCTGAAAATGATATTTCAATTATTGCTATCAATTGCTTGTTAACATGTATGTGAAGGAAACCAATCATTTTTCTAAACCTAAATGCATCAGTGACAGCCATTTTGAACTTTCTTTCCCTTCAAAATCATTAGTTATCCTTGCACTCTGTTAATAGCAAATTTCATCCTGAGGTAACCAAAGAGGACTTTCTTCCTAACCTAAAGCTATAAGTAATGCATCGTTGTTGGAGAAGTTACTAGTGATTGTATATTTTCATTATTTTGTCCGTATCATATAAGCAGCAACAGCTCTTGGCTTTTAAGTTCTCTGCAGAGCTTAAGAAATGGAAGATTAGAAATAGGAGCCCCAAGACCTGCAATTAGATATTTTATAATAAAATGAAAAGATGGGCACATTACACATTCGCACTCTGTACCAGGTCAGTTTCAAAAACTTACATGAAAACAAGTGAATAATATGCTAGTATTCAAGGTATTAGCTTTCAGTTGCTTTGATATTAGAGAAAGGAAAATATGGCAACTAATAGGAACTACTGTCTTGGCCTTTGTGTTCTGATTGTACTAATGGTTACCGGTGTTAAACAACCTTTTACTTGTAGAGATGTGAGTTTTCTTTGTTTTCATTTTCAAAATATCACATTTTATAAAATAAAAAATATTTGGTACAATAACTTGATTAAACAATAGTTAAATCTATAGTTGCCTGATTGTTTTCTTAGATTCTGTGGAAGTATAATTTTAGAGTAGCTTGGTTGTGGTGGAGTGTCATTTTTGAAAATCATTGAGGGGATTATTGTCATCAACTCACATTCGGGTCTTTTTAAATAAGATATATTGGCATATGTAAATTTGATAATCAATTGATGCAGGCATGTTCAAGGTTACGGGGTGAGATAGCAAGTGGAGCCACACCTAGTTCATGCTTCAAATGTGGTGAAGAAGGACATTTTGCCCGGGAGTGCACAAGTTCTATCAAGGTACCCTTCAGGATATTTATTGACTATCGTTACTTAAACTATTACAGGTGTTTGCCTTTTCTTTTATTGTTCTTTTGTGTTTTATATTCTTGTGTCTTAAAGTAGTTTTTGATGTTTTCCTCCACAGGCAGGGAAGAGGAATTACGAATCATCAAACACAAAAGATAAAAGACCCCAAAAAGAAAATGATTACATGGGAAATAGATCTGCACCTAATGATGTACGTCACAGAAAGAAACGGTCTTCTACAGAAGAGAGAGGCTTTTCAACACCCAAGAAATCAAAGAGTAGAGGGGGCTGGATGGTGGAGCATCCTGCAGAAGAAAAGGACTATACATCTCCCAAGAAATCTAAGCATAGAGGTGGCTGGACATCGGAGCATCCTCCGGAACAAAGAGGCTATACGACTCCCATGAAATCCAAGAGTAGAGGTGGATGGAAGACAGAGCATCCTGAAGAATTCTTTCCTCCCATGTCCACACGTAGCAGTTTTAGGTCTTCAGGGACACCATCTTCTATAAGCACCAGAATTCATTCTTTTGGTAATGGAAGTCATACTCCAAGTTATAAATCTTCCAAGAGATGGAATGGTTATACTGGAACCCCATTTTCCCAAGAAGCTTCAGCCAGGTCAAATCATAGATATTCAGCATCAAGGTTTGGCAACTCTAGTAGTGATGGGCATGGCAGAAATTACAACTGGTGGTAGTAGCGATCATGAAATCTGGATTATGTTCTCGATAATTCCCCGTGTAAACTTGTAAAACAACACCTGCAAGTTTTCTAAATTAATATTCAATGATACTGTTGTGAATTTTTCAAATTTATGGATCTGTGTTAAGGGTATGCAATTTCCCCTTTGAACTTCATTTTCGTTTGTATCCACTACCTTGAATATCTTTCTAGTCAAGGGGAACAGTAAGCTATTGTTTGAACTTATGTCTGGCTGTTTGTACGATTCTCTTATGAAAGGAGCACATCATCAATCCTCTTTTAGTGGTGTTTGGATAGGAAATTTTAGAAATGTAATGAATCGAAATTCTTGAAAATTTTTGGAATTTGAATTTAATTGATTTTAATTTTTTATCCTTTGTCAAATGTTTTGTTACAATTGTAAGGAATTTTTATTTACAAAAGCTAATTTCAGCAGGGTGTTGTCTCGTGTGTATAGAGTTAAGCCTAAGGACCTGCTTTTATTAAATGTTTTGTAATTTTTATTTACAATAGCTAATTTTTATTTTCGATGAATGGCCGACACTAAAATGTGTTGTAGTGAAATAATTCATCTACAAACCCTGATACACATAGTGAAAGGGAACTAGAGTGGCTTGTTTGATTTTACCGTTTTCTGTTTCTGTTTTCATGCTGTGTCGTGTGTAGGTAAGCCCAAGGGTCTGCTTTTGTTAAATGTTTTATAATTTTTATTTACAAAAGCCAATTTTTATTTTCGATGGCCGACACTAAAATGTGTCTTGTAATGAAATAATTCATCTACAAACCTTGATACACAGTGAAAGAGAACCAGTGAAAGAGAACTAAGGGTTTTTTTGGTTTTACTATTTTTCCCCCTTTAAAGAAAAGAGAAAATAAAAAATGTGTTTAGTTTTAATTTTAGAAAATATTTTTGTGTAACATTTTTAAAAATAGCTCAATTTTGAAAAAATAAACATGTTATTTTCAATTAAAAATACGGTGGCATCATAATAATTATTGAATTCTTTTTCTCTCTTCTAAATCTCTTTTTCCTTTTTTTCTCAAATTGGTTCATAACTATTATAAAATTAACATTTTTTATTTTATAGAATTGAATTGACATTTTATCTTTTTATTTTAATCATAATTTAACTTAACTATTTTATTACTATCAGGATAGGATTTTAAATTGCAGTCCACAACCGTAATTGCGGCTGTAATATTATTGTTGCGGTGCTTACCACAATCACAATAGCCAACAATTACGGTGTAATTTTAAATCACTTAAAATTCTGCATTTCAACTGCAATATAATCACAATAAATCTGTAACATCATTTTATTTTATTTTGTATCAAAATACATAGATACATTCAAGTTTTAATCTTCTATTCTAATAAATTTGATTACATGAAATATTAAAGGAAGAAGAAAGACAACTAATGACAGCTGGTTAAAATGTTAAGATGTGCATGCTATATTTTAAGAAAGGGATAAAGAGGTTTTGAGTAAAAAAATAAGAAAAGAGATATAATTGTTTGTTTATATACGTGCAAATATGTAATAATTTTATACCACAACAATTACAATCTACATGGCAATAGATGTAATAGCCACGACTACACTAACTATAATTGCAACCGTAACTGCAATCGCAATTTAAAACTATGAATACTATCTTTATAATATTTTATTTTGTTATAATTTAACTTAGTAAAAATTTTGTTATTTCATTATTTTTTTTAATTACGTTATTTCATATATATATATATATAAGCGGCAAAGTACTTGCACGCGTGTACCCATCTAATACTTTGAAGTTCCCACCTACCACCCTTGCCTTTGCCTCCTGGCCCGTCGAATGGGGGAGGGGGGAGCATGGGTGGAGTTGGCCTGACAAAGGTTTCGTTTCGAGATAAGGTGTCAGGGAAGCAGTCTAAACAACGTTGGGAAATGGTTGATCTTCTTGCTACTAAGAAGTTTCCCATTGAATTGGAGGATGGAGACACAATAAAATCTATAAGTGCTTCGTTAATGATTCGGTGTTGCAAGAGTTGTGTGCTCCTTGGAAAAATGTCATTATCGTTAAGCTTTTGGGGAAGTTCTCGAGTTTTTTCACGTTACGGAATAAGCTCTAGGTGATTTCCCTCTTTTTAAAACAAAATTTGAGAAGCAAGAAAGTTCTTGCTTTAAGTTTAACGGATGTTTAAAGATTTTAAATGCCAAATCAAACACCCTGTTAGCGATTGACTGTGATTTTGATATGGTGGATGTTGGTTTTGGGTTTTATATTTTTAATTGCATGTTATATATTATTTAATTTAATTTAATTTTTATTGATAAAATATATTATTTTATTATTATAGTTAAATACTAGTGATGAAATATGTTTAATATTTATTATAATCAAATGATTGTTATTTTTAAAAGAAAAATAGTATTAATTGTATATGTGTAAGGAGGTTTTTGTGGACATGGCAGAAGGAATAACAACAAATCATGAGGTTCAACATCTAATAATGGAGGAGATGATGACCTTGATCAACTACTTGAAGGAAGAAAATGTTTAGGCAAGGGAGAGAGAGGACGCTATTAGAAGGGAGAATGAAGAGATTCAACAATGAGCGAACGAGATGCAAGCGAAGATAGAAGCTAATCTCAGGCTAATGGATGAAGATGTGATGGTGGAAATATCAATGGATTTAGGCCTTTTTCAGAGGCAATCAAGTCAGAAGTCATTCCACGGGAGCACAAGGTGCCCCACGTTGATCCCTTTGATGGAACATAGGATTCCAATCAACATCTGACAAACTTCTAAGCTCAAATGTTGACCTGTGGAGGAAGCATGGGGGTATGATACAAGTTGTTCATGGGAACCTTGAAAAAAATAACTTTGGATTGGTTTAGTAGCTTGTTGGGTCGGTCCATTACTGATTTTGACATGTTTAGTCATTTGTTTGTGGCTCAATTTATCATAAACAAACAAAAACCCCCTGTTATGTTAGATCTAATCGATTTTAAAACGCAACAAGGAGAATCTTTGAAAGATTTTCTTCAAAGATGCAATGAAGTTTCATCAAGGATCGCATCCTTGGATGAAAAAATGGCGGTCATAGCATTCCAAAAAGGCCTAAGGTAAAGAGATTTTGATGTTTCCTTAGAAAAGATGAATTGCCAAACAATGGCCAAAGTAAAAGCTTTTGTTCTAAGTTATATAAAGATGGAGGAATAACATATCAACAAGAAAGCGGTAAAGAACCAGGAGCTAGTTGTGAATAATAAAGAGGGGAACAGGTACCTTCGCCCATGACCTTATTGAAATAAAATAAAAGATTGCTATGTTTTGAGAAGAGAAAAAAAAATTTAAGCAATAAGATTAAGGAGGACTTCATAAAGACAATTGGATGAAGAATAATGAACAAGAAAAGTTTAATCCACTCAATGAACCACAAAGACAAATACTGACTAGTGTGAATTTCATAAAACCCATGGCTACAATACTGAAGATTATTTTGTTTTGGGAAGGCAGATTGAGCATTTGATAAAGGAGGAATAACTAGAAAAAATCATTCTAAAGAAAGGAGAGAGCAACTCGGTATAACGAAGAAATCGAAATACAGGAGATAGGAGGTGCAATAAGACTAATGAAGGATCGTTTTCCCATAGGCCTTTGATATAAAGTCAAAGCTCATCAGCAGGACAACACTATTGTTGGAGGATTTGCAAGAGGAGGAACCAAATCAACAACTCATAAAAGATATGCCTGATCTATGTTAACCATATTAAAAGTGAGGCAACTGTCCTAACCAATTATCACTTTCTTCGATTTCGATTATGAAGGCGTATCTCCTCATGAGGATTATTTGATTTTCATATTGGCAATTGTCATGGGATACAATGTGAAACATGTTTGGTAGACCACGGGAGTTCGACAAACATATTGTTTTGGGAGGCTTTTGTTGGAATAAAGATACCTAATGACTGATTGATGCCTTATGTAGGAACTTTGGCACGATTTGTAGGCAACAAAGTTGTTACTTGAGGATATGCCAATTTGGAGACTACATTCGGTCAAGGAGCCCACATGAAGATAGTAGCCATCCGATATTTGGGGGTGAATGCCCAATCGTCCTATAGCATATTGAAAGGACAACCCATGTTGAACAAATTGGGAGTAGTAGTGTCAACTTTGCACCTGAAGGTAAAGTATTTGCTACCAAATAGAGGAATTGGTTCTTTGAGGGTGGATTAGGAGGTTGCACAAAAATGTTATGAAGATAATTTGAAAGCAAAAAGGCATTTGTATATGACACCTATGGAGTGAGAGGTTCAGTCCATAGATTTAGACTCAAGGGTGAATTATTTTGACCATTGAGCATCCCCAGTTGAAGATGTCAAAGAAGTGAAAGTGTCCAAAGGAAAGAATGTGAAGATTGGAGTGTCATTGACTTGGAAAGATGAAGAGACACTAGTTGGTGTTTTGAAGAAAAATTTGTCAGCCTTTGCTTGGAGTGCAAATGACATGCCATGTATAGATCTCTATTTTCTATGTCTTAAGCTTGCTTTAGACCCAAAAGTGAAAGCAATAATAATAATAATAAAGGAATTTTGGAGAAGAGAAAAAGAAAGCCATATCAGAAGAAACAAAAAAAACTAATAATGGTTGGTCATATTCGAGAAATTCAATATCCAATGTGGCTGGCAAATGTGAAGATGGTAAAGAAGAGTAGCGAAAAATGGAGGATGTGCAATGACTTAATATATTTGAATAAGGCATGCTCAAAATACTTGTATCCTTTAACCAACATAGATTGCTTGATAGATGGTGCATCGAGGTATGAACTTCTGAATTTCATGGATACGTATTCGAGACATAATTAGATTCAAATGCATCCAAAAGATGAAGAAAAAACAACATCTATCGATATACACAAATAGAACTCACTCAAAAAGCAACTTTATACATGTGTCAACAAACTAGCTATCCACCATTTTAATGAATTTTTTAATTTAACCACAAAAGGAATAACCAAATAATAATTTTCACAAAGTACTATTTTTCCTAACAATACTAATGTGGCACCTATAGGGAATGAGAAACAAATAATTAATCTGATAAACATGTATAATCACTTCAAAAACATAAATTCTGTACTACTAGTACATGCCTATGGGAAACTAAAAGCAAAAGGCAACATTTTCTCAAAATTGGAAATAATATGATTTTATGTTTAAAAAATTATTAAA